TCTACTGCCTTTTGTTCCTTCTTTTTCCTTTTCCATCTTCTTTTTGGATTATTTGCTTTTTGGATTTTTTAAGCTTTTTCTATTTTCATTTATCTTTTCTTCCTGGTTGCTTTAGGTATTACAAAATGTTTATTAAACCTTTAACCAATTTAGTCTTAGTTTTTACCACATTCACAAAATGTGGAAGCTTTACAAGTTACTTTATTTTCTCCCTCCCATATTATACTTTTCATATCTATTTCATCTAATTACATTGAAAACTATCAAAGTTATTTTTGCTCTCAGCATTTGTATGTGTAAAAGAATTTTAGAGGAAAACAATAGTTTATTGTATTTATTCAGCCTGTTGCAGCATATCAGTGTGTTTTGATTAAATCATAAATTGCCATTTTGACTCCCTATTCAATAGCTGTTTTTAGCCAGCTAAGTTAGGGGTATATTAAATGGAAGTCAGCATTTAATTTGCTGTGCTGATTTAAATGGAAAAATATTGCTTAATTTTTTTTCATTATGTTAATTTGGAGACTATATTGAGGTGTTCAATAAAGATTTTTATTTCTATGACATACTTTAACTGTATTTGTAATTAGAGGTTTTCATGGTTGGGTTTTACTATTAGAATTTCCATTTAAAAATAGTAACAGTTTTTAAACAAGCCACTAATAATTTATATGATACTACAGTTTTTCTCAGTGTATAGAAAAATTCTAAAAGTAATCAGATTTGATAGTGTCTCTAGTTTTTGAGTCACTACTGTTTACATGAATTATATGTTTGTATTTTTCATTAAATGTGTGTTCCAAACAGGATTAGGGTATTTTGCTTTAAGTATAGTAAACAATGGATTTGTCTTTAGTCCACACTTAGGATTCCTAGCTGAAGTTCACTATTAGTTGATCTCTCTCCTCATCCAGTAGATCTTGTACTACAGGTACACTTTGCTGGTAAAGAACCCAACTGAAAACACTTATTTGAAGAAATAGTTTACTTCTTCAGTAAGTATTTTAAATAGAACATTTAAATACCTGTTATGTAAAATTTGTTTTCTTTGAAGGATGGTCTTTTTTTTTGTTAGAAATATAAGAAAAATTTGATTGTTTCGTAGAAGACACAATACTGATTTTACAAAAATTAAATTTAGAAGATGTTCAGAGATAAATAAGAAATTTTAGATATTCTGTATTTCCAGCTGATAAGATTATTCCTAGTAACACAAGCAATGATTGACATTCATCATTCCATAAATACTTGTTCTTAGCAGTGGGGGTGATGCTGTGAAAAAGATAAAAGTCCTCTTTGAGGGAGCTCACCTGGAAATGGAAAATAAATTAAGTGTATTAATTTCAAAGAGTGCTACATTCTAGTAAGACTAGAATAACAGGATAGACTGTGTGTAGGGTGGAGGAATAGTACACTGAAAATGGTAGGGGCAAAGACTTTGAGGAAGTAACATTTTAAGTAGAGCCTACATGATCAGTAGGAGCCCATCATGCAGAAAGGTGCAAAGAGCATTCCGGGTGGAGGGAATGCCAAACACAAAGCCCTCGCCCAAGAAGGAGGTTGTCCTTCGAGAATGGAAGCCAGAGGTCAGAAATTGCCTTGGGCCCCAGTGAGTGGATGCTAGGAACATGCTCTGTGATGGACAGAAAGGATGGGGGTGCCAGGGGTGTTATTTTCAAGGCTATGAGTGACCTGTTTGTTTTTGAGTTTCAGGGAACACATATCAAAAAACTTGGTGTCAACTCTTCCTTTTTATTTCAGCTTAATATCTTACCTGTGTAAAGTCGTTGGTTGGTTGCTTGATTGATGGTTGGCTGATTTAGGAGCTCCATAGATGTTCTCAGGGCATGATAGAGTTTTCTGAGGACTAGGGAATACTCTGTTTTATTATGGACATGTTAAATTGTCAAAAGTCTGTGAGGTATGGACCTAAAACATGTACTTTTATATTACAAATTATTCCTTAAAAAGATGAGTTTAAAACTATAGTTGGTGCCCTTAAATAGTGACATTTTAAAATATGTTAGCATCTCTTGCTCTTAGGGCTGTAGGCAAAAAGATATTCTTACACCTTGTAGGAAGCTAATTTATAGCCTTTATGCAAGCATCTTTGAACATAAAGTAAGATAAAAGGTATATGCCTTTTGATTCAGCAGCCGTGTTTCTTGGGCTTTGATACATGGGCATGAAAATACTAGAGTGTAAAAACATCTATGCCAGCACTGTAATGCAGCATTATTATAGGTGATTGAAGTGCCATGTGAATGCTATCAGAAAGTGGCTGATTAGGCAACCGAACAACACATCAGTCATGAGATACGATAGAGTTATTCTAAGAAACTGGTTAGAACTAACTTTGTGAGGAATTCTTAGAGATGTGTGCACAGGACAACAAATATACTTGTTTCATTTTAGAAAAGGATTTTCAAATGTGTCCTGTAAAGATGCATGTGTTCATGTGTGTGCAAGAAAGATATGAAACACTGTATCCAGATCAGAAATGCCATTTACTTGTAAAAGCAAGACTTGGGTTATGGAAGAGGAAAGGAGAAATAGTACAAAAAAGGATTATATGAAAAATATCCAAACAACATGAACACCATTCCCCACATTTGAAAAATATTTATCTTCATAAACTGGGAGAAAATGTTAGGCTTTTAGTGTACTGATTCTTAGGGATATTTGCAGTGTGCAGTGAAATTTTAGAAAGATGTGTCCAATTAACCCTTATAACATGGTTCTATTTTGGTAAATAAAAGATCTTCTGTGGATGAGTTCTTGTTAAATTTGAGTCAGATCACCTTTCTTGTTTCCAGGTTTCTTTCATTTTACTGAGAAACTTTCCAAATTTAGCCCTCTCAGATTCCAGGCTCCTGAAGTGTGTCTGTTTATTTGGAGTGGTGTGGTCAGCACAGAAATGCTCTCCTGTTCCCTTAGCACCGCCCGCTGGTCCTTGAGTCGGGGCTCCCCAATAGCAGGGCTCCAGGGCTCCTTTTAGTACTGTGGATGAGAGAACTAGACCTGAAAGTTGTACCCACTCGCATTTGCTGAGGTTCCAGTAGGTTTTCATTGGAGACCATATAGGACATGTAGGTCTTGGTGGGTCTCAGCCCTGCATTTCATTGGGTTTTGGCTTCCACTTTCTGTGTTTTACTCATGGGCTTCAGAGGGTACAAGGTACAGCTAAGTGTGAGATGGTGCAGAGCAGGAGGAATCCTGCATCGGTGCTCATCACGGGTTTGGCTCTCTCTCAGATAATGATGGGCACCTTTGCGCCGGCTGCGTTTTCTAAGGTGTTGTTACATGTGACACAGATTCCTCTTCTCACTGTGACATAAGGAGAAACAAAGCTTGCTGAGTGACAAACACTGTTTTATATGGAAGTCTTCATCTTGGTAAAGCCTTTGTTCTCCATGTTTATTTATATGTCTGTATAGTTCTTTGCATTTGCTTACAGGAATTTCTTTGCCCCACCCTTCTTTATATTTATTGACAAAGGATTTGAACACAGGGTCCATTTCTCCTTCGTCATTGGTTAAAACAGAATACTTGAAATATCTAGCCATGCACACATTTTAACAGAACATTCTGGATGAATCTACAATGACTGGGGATTAAGATTAACTCTAATGTGACTGCCCCATATCATATTTAAATGTAAAGCATCTTAAAAGATCTTTTATATTCCTTAAAATACCAGTTCATAGTCTCTTGTCCCATACTGCATTCCATACATGCAAACAGTGTGGCATGTCTATGTGGCCATTGCAGCCATAAATTATTTGTGTCCCAATAAACTCTTACTTTGTATCCTAAGATTTTTAAAAATAGTTTCAAATCATGATTTTTATGGTAGATCTTTATTCTCAGTTTCCTTATTCTAAGGATTATCTGTCGCAGTATGATCAAGAAAGCCCTTAAATTATTAACTCAAATTTCTTACCGATATGCTGTGAATTAAATACCTTTTTTTTTTTTTTCTATTTTATTTAAGCATACAATCACTGGGGTATAGGTCAGAGGTGTGAGAGGGTGAGGATTCATCAGAGACAGAGTAGGGGAGCAGAACAGGCAAATCTACTGAAATCTATATATACACTGGTGAAGGGAGCAGTGAGCAAGGCCAGAGAGGCCTGCTGTACCTTATGTGGACTAACTCCCTGACCAGAGATCAAACTCATGCCCCAATGGCTAGTGATAGCTTGATAGAACTGCGACTTTAATCCTGTGCCACCAGGGAGGCCCCCAAATTAGACACAAATGGTTTTAGAAACACTTTGGTCAGTTTTTTTTCCACTCTTGAGGTAATGAATTTTTTTTCATCAACCTTTGTGAATGCTTAAATATGATCCTTACATTAAAGGGGGAAAAGAATTAAGGTATATCAAAGCAGAAATTAAAAAAAAACTACTTAGTCATTTAAACTGAACAGAAAAAAAAACAGTGCATTTAATTCTCTTCTTCATGGAGATATTTTGAAGTATTTATGAATCTTTAAAGGTAAAAAAAGAGTTAAATATAACCTAGTATTAGTGAATGTTAATGGGATCATTCTAAGTGTAGGGGAGTGAATGCACTATGCACAGGGATTTTTTAGTATGATTTTTTTTAACTTATAAAAATTGGAAAAAGTGGCCCTCCCTGGTGGCGCAGCGGGTTAAAGCACTGCACTGAGAAGCTAAAGCCACTTCCACATGAGTTCGATCCCCGCCTGCCCCCGGAGGAGACCACATGGCGTGGCAGACCTCTCCTGACCCGCCCACTGCTCCCCTCAGCAGTGTACTTCGTTGATCTGCCTGTTCTGCTCCCCACTCTGTCTCTGGTGAAGTCTCTCACTGCCCCTGAGTCTCTGGCCTGTACCCCAGTTCTGTATGTACAAATAAATAAATCTTTAAAAAAAAAAAAATTGGAAAAAGTTAAAGAGATCTAAAATGTTGCTCTTGTAGAATTTAAAATGTTCATTTCTAATATTGGTTTGTTTGTTTTTTGGTTTTCAATAGGCCATATACTCCTATGAAAGGAGGAGTCTCCAATGTATGGTTTGATAGGTTTAAAATATCTAATGATGTTCCAGAACACCTAGAATCAATTGACTTAATGTGTCAAATACTTACAGATTTGATTGATGATGAAGTGAAAAATGGCATCAAGAAGAACAGGATATTAGTAGGTAAGAACTTTAAAAGTCATAATTAAATTTTTTTTCCACTTGATTCATTCTATATACTGAACTTAGATTATTTAGATGTACATGTACTTAACTTGTTCATTTTTGTATCTCCTTTTTCTTGGATAAGCTATACATATTAAGAATTATAAACAACAGCTCCTGAGATATCACTTGATTTCCTTTTTAATAATAACATGGTTAATATTCAGTTTAGAGATTATTCATTTCAATTTTTAAAACACATGAGTTAGATTAAGTTTATGACTACTTTTAAACTGCTATTGCCATGGTGAGAATACACAGTTGAAATACAACATCACACTTATGAAAAGTAAACATGTGAGCCTCCCTGGTGGTACAGGGGGTTAAGTGTCAGCACTATGATGAGCAGAACATTGTGGGAGTCTTGGACAGTACAGAGAAGGCCGTCCAGCTCAGTCTAGGGAGCAATGCAGCAGTTATAAGATAGAACTCAAAATGTGTAACCAAATGGTAAGGCCCATAATTCACGCATTTAGCAAGTCTGTTTTTAAATTCCCACTGTGTATGCTGGGTTCTCAGTGGGGCACAGCTAAATAAAGTAGACTCCATCTCACAATGGTTTACAGCCCCAAAGGCCCATGAGGCACTAGACAGATAACCATGACAGCATCCAGCTGATGCCAAGTGTCCCAAAGCTCTTCCAAGGAACTGAACATGTGCAGTTATTACTGTACAGTACACTGGCACAAAAAATTTGTCATGAATGGTATGACCTATCCCTTATTTGTATATACGTGAGTCTCAATAGCTTCTGTGCTTAGAGAATGTCGATTGTCCCTTCCTATAAAGTTGTAATAATTGGTTTAATCTATTCATATGAAATAGTTAGCTTTCCTTTTGTTACTAAATATGCTGTCCCTCCAGATAGCACAAGAGCCCTTGGGAGCCGTGTTGCCTTGTGGAGACCCAGGTCATTGGTCATTTCTGTTCTACCAGCTGTTTCTTAATGTCCATGCTGTGCTTTCCTCTTCCTTTTTCACAGCTCTTAGATTATTTAAACAGAAATATGTGGTTAATATTTTTATACAGTGTCTATTATAGCACATTTTAAGATTTAAGTGCTCTTTATGACACTTCAATGATGGTGAAAGTCACTAATCCTATGCAAGTTGTATTAAGCACACAGACATACACCTTGGTTAAATTAGGGGTATTAAAAATAGTTTTTAAGAGGAAAAACTGGAAATACTATAAAAGCTGAAAAAATGGATATGACAGGTATAAATATTGTTATCGTTATTGATGTTGATTAATATGTAATACAGCTTTTTAATTTTGATTAGTGGAATTTTATTGTATTAAACTTAGGCTTAAAAACTTAAGTCTTTTATATAGTTTATGGCATCCACCTTTTCTAGGTAGTCTATCCAAATCAAAAATGGTACCTCTCATACTAAACTTTATTAACTAAATAGTTAATAAAAATTGTAAGTGCTGGAGTACTCATCTATAAAAAATAGTATTTTTGTAACAATGGTTTTTTTTTTTAAATTTATTTTTGCATAGAAGAACTGGTGTGTAGGCTATAGTCATGGTGGGTAAGGGGACTCAACAGAGACAGCTGCAGAGCAGAACAGACAGGTTTACCTAAATGCACTGGTAAGGGAACACCAGGAGAGACAGGAGAGGTCTGCTGTGCCATATATGGGTTAGCTCTCAGGCAGAGATCAAAATCACGCTATAGCATAATAGCACTGAGACTTAATCCTTAGGCTACCAGGGAGGCCTTATCAATATTTGCAGTCTAATGAGAGATAAAACAAAAGTATTCTAGCTCAGTCCAAGTGTTGTAAAATTATGTGCAAGGTACAGTGTAAGCAATGAGGAAGAAGTAAATTGGGGGAGGGGTTGTCAAGGGCTTAGAAAAGTTGATTCTCCTGAGTCTTAAGGAATGAGTAAGAAAATGGAGGGAAGCATACATGTGAAATGAACATATGAGAATCTTAGGAAATACGTAGGTATGTGTGCCAGCTCTTAGCGTTATTGAATTGTACATAGAGAATGATGATTGAATGTGTAATTTGGAAAGATTATGCTGACAGCACTATCGGGGCTTGGCTGGCTGGCTGGTCTGATGGCCAATAGAAGAACACGGTGGCAAATGATACATCCAGTAGAATGGGGAAAGACTAATACATAAATTTTCTGGAATTTGTAGACAAAAGGATAAGTAAGATTGGATTGCAGGTGTGAGCTATTACTCAAATTCTAGTTTTCTAATTTTTATAAGTGAGAATATTGCTTGACTAATGGAAAAATTAAACTTTGGTTAAATAGGGAGAATGAAGCAAAAGGTTCACTTCCTGTCCCAGGAAGCGGAATACATATTTAGAGATGTGCAATAAAAATTAGTTCCTTAGAGATATTTGTGACTCCTCACTCTACATTAAAAATACCAGACATAGGCCCTCCCTGGTGGCGCAGCAAATTAAAGCCCAGCACTGAGAAGCTAAATCCACTTCCGCATGAGTTCGATCCCCGCCTGCCCCGGAGGTGACCACATGGCGCGGCAGACCTCTCCTGACCTGCCCACTGCTCCCCTCAGCAGAGTACTTCATTGATCTGCCTGTTCTGCTCCCCGCTCTGTCCCTGGTGAATCCTATCACCCTCCACATCTCTGGCCTGTACCCCAGTTCTGTATGAATAAATAAATAAATCTTTAAAAATATATATATATCAGACATAAGCAAGTTTATTTATTTTTATATATTCATACAACATGGACTTTCCCAGAGATGACAAAAGAAGTTATGGGAAACACAAATATTATAATCATGACTGTCAAGTTACTTTTTGAATGCTGGCTGTATGTTCATTGATATAACTTGGAGTAAGCCCTGTATTCCAATTCAATTATTAATAATTTTAGATTACCCTGTGTTTTTCCAGCTTTACCGGCATGTTAAGAAGGTCTGATGTGCAGAGTTTAAATCTAATCCATTGTACATCTACCTCTCTTGAATGTCTATCTTGAAACTCTTCGTCTTCTAGAATGTTTCTGGATAATGAGAGAAGTCAAGTAGGAAACAGTATGTGCTATTTCATTTTAAAAATCTATGTGATAGTAATATGACTAAAATCATTGAAATTTTATTATATTCCAATTTTTAAATTGCCGTTATATATCATAGTTTTATATTGTTTATGTTATACAGTTGTTTTCAAATATAGTAGGTAGTACAGACCCTTCTAGTAGGTAGAACAGAAAATTATTCTAATTTTACTATGAAGAAACTAAACTTCAAGAAGATTTCAGGCTAACGTTAGAGTTGAGACTGGAACCCAGATCTACTTTGTCAAGAATTTTGTACAATGATGAAGTTCCTTTTTTGGCCACTAGGTGGTGATAATTTGTTGTTAAGAGAAAAATAAAATTTTGGTTTTAACTTTTATCTAGAATGTATAGAACCTGATGTGTGATGTGATCATATTATAAGCATTTTGATATGAGAATACTATTAGAATTTTGAAGCACAGGGAATCAAGTGATTCTGGAATTATACCTAAGTAACTTACATGGGTACTCTAAATGACCATCACTGGAATTTGGTCCATTAAGAAGGCTGGATATGGTCTATTAATCCTATTCAACTGATGGTACATTTGAATCACTCGGTGACAAGTAATTACTTGCTCATAGAATGCAAAAATATATGTTAAATGAATAAAAATTAACTATGGCATTTTGTATGCTATTGAAAGACTTTCAAATAAGTATTTCATGACAGGAAAAAAAATAATATTGGGATATAAATTGTCCCAGTAGAATGAGTTTATTAATCTGAATTTTTTTTGTTTAATGTCAAAATTATGGGCCTCCCTGGTGATGCGTAGTCTCAGCACTTTCAAGCTGTAGGCAGCCAATGCAGCATGAGTTCAGTCCCCGGCCAGAGAGCTGATCCACATGGCACAACAAACCTCTCCTGTCTTCTCCACTGCACCCCTCAGCAGTGTATTTCAGTAGGTCTGCCTGTTCTGCGCCCCATTCTGCTTCTGGTGAATCCTCTTGCCCCCTGCCCTCTGGCCTGCACCCCATAAATAAATAAATCCTTTAAAAAGTTACATGTAGGTAGTAAGATTTTTGGATGACTCACTTTATTTCTGTCTGCACAGTAGAAACATTTTGCACCTTATGTATTAATGTATGTGAATATATTCATTTTATAATACAGTTTAAAATAATAATGCAGGGATGGCTGAAATTGCCAAGATGTCTTCTGCTACCCAGGTCCCAGGCCTGTTGTGCTGACCTTGGCACATTTCTTCTCAAGCTGCTTCTGAAGCCAGCACCTGGCAGGGATGGCATTCGTGTGCTGCCCTTCTACCGCACATGTGTCCTGGCCACTTACTTTTCTTTAGCAAGTATAAGAACTTTAAAAACCTAGGCTGCAGTTCTTTTGGTTATTCTCTACCCTTTGTATGAGACAAAATAACACCAATTCATATGGTGGGCATAACTTAGCCCCAAATCCAGAGTAATTATAAGATATAAATTAAAGACGTTGAAATTTGGAAGAAGTGTGGGTTTTGTTGAATTTTTATAATCCTATTCAATGGATAGTACATTTGGATTGTAAATACTGTTTCCTTTGGGTTTTGTTTGCAAATGGATTAACTTAGTTTTCATGCAGAAAATTTTTTTATACATTGTTTCTGTTTTATTTTATTTAAAGAGTTCATAAAAGCTAAGTTTATTATTTTTTAACATGTTTTATTCAGCTTGTTAATTTTAAGTGTATGTTGAAATTTTAACTCTTGACGTTTTAAAACTTTGCCAGCAACTATAAATATACACTATAACCATTACCTACAATGAGTTTACTATTTGGTATCCACTTATTGAACAGTATATTTTATATTGCACTTTAGACACTTAGATGGAAATTGAATTCAAATAACTAGACCTTTGTGTTAAATTTTCTTCTGTTAGAAAAAATACACAAAGTCCCCTTTCATAGCAGTGTCATTTGCTAAAGGTGATTGTACTGTCAAAGATGGCTGGCGGGGATTGCAGATTACCTCACAAGATTATAAATGGGTCCAGGACTTGGATTAAGTCTTTAAATTATAAGATTTCAATGAGCACATTTTTCTTCACTGTAATCGTGAGTCAAATATGAGGCTAAATGTCTGCTGAATACATCTACGTTTATTCATAATGACATTTCTTATATGGGAAGATGTTTTCCTTCTTAGTTTTTCTGTTGTTGGACCAGTCCCATCAAGAAGTCTGGGAACCAGATATGGCAACTCAGTTACCCTGGCTGCTGTAAATGAAGGGGTAGAGGGTGCATTTAACATGTAAAATTTTCTCAGTTGCCATGCTTTTATAATAATTTCTATATGTTTTTACTTAAGGATCTATTTTGTTCACATGTTTCTTACACTATATTTGAAAAAAAAATTATACACCCTAAAAGATCATATTTAATAATTTAAGCCTCAATATTATCTTTTTATGTAGTACTCTCTTTTTGCTCCATTTGTAGATTTTGAAATCCTTTTCAACCATTGAGGCAGCTTAGATTATCTAGAACTTCATTGTTGAATATGATAACTGACAGCCATGTGACTATTTAAACTTAAATAAAATTAAACATTTAGTTCTTCAGTCACACTAGTTACAATTAATATGTTCCTTAGTACATTTAACAGAAACTAATTCAAGCTCTTGAATTTCTCCAAAAAGTAAATCCTTTGTTCCCCCAGCCTTGGTATCTGTGACATGGCGCATTTCTGTTAAATCCTGACTACATTTTCACTTTCTGTTCTTATATATTACACTTAATTTTGAATTAAGCTATTGCCATTGCAGCTATTGATTTTTTTTTTCTAAGACTTTGATTTATGAGTAGGTGAGCTGTTAAAAATTAGACATAGACTTTGAAATTGCATTAGTGAATATAGGGCTGGCTAGGAGTCTTTTTTTTTTTTTTTAACTTATGCATACAGAACTGGGGTGTGGGGGCGGTGAGAGGATTCACCAGACAGAGTGGGGAGCAAAACAGGCCGACTGACGAAGTACATTACTGAGGGGAGCAGTGGGCAGGTCAGGAGAGGAATGCTGCTCCATGTGAATCACCTCCAAGGCTGGAGATCTAACTCAAATTGAAGTGGCTTTAGCTTCTTAGTGCTGTGCTTTAACCTGCTGTACCACCAGGAAGGGCCCGGAGTCTTTATTTTTAAGGAGCCCCATGATATTACATGGAAAGCCTTGAGAAGCAAGGCCAAGTCTATTCCTATAATGGGGCAAAATCCAATAAACTTGGAACTTTTTCTGTATACTTAATAATGAATATTAAAAGTGTTCATCTTGTCTGCAGTGAATTCTTCATATCTACATGGATTATATCAAAGATTTATTACTTTACAGATTCACAGATAAAATGTCCCAATGGTTTTGATCCTTTGGGGGAATCTTTTACACATAAACAATTTTGCGTATAGTTTTTCCTTTTTTTTAAGATTTATTTCCCCATATAGAACTGGGGTACAGGCCAGAGATGAGGTGGGTGAGAGGATTCACTAGAGACAGAATGGGGAGCAGAGACAAAGTACACTGCTGAGGGGAGCAGTGGGCGGGTCAGGAAAGGCCTGTCGTACCATGTGGTCACCTCTGGGGCAAGCAGGAATCGAACTCATGTGGAAGTGGCTTCCGCTTCTCAGTGCTGTGCTTTAACCCGCTGCGCTAGCAGGGAGGGCCAATTTTACGTATAGTTTTAAGTGATTTATACTGCTCCTCCCCCACTGCACCTCTAATTATATATGCCCTTATTCAAAGGTGGTATGGGATGTAAGGTTATTTGAAAGAGTTGTTTGAATGGTTCTCACCCATGATGAGCTACTGCTACTCATGAGACCCTGTCATGTCTTCCAGTATGTTAAACCACATATGTGATACTTATCACACTCTGTATTGTATACCCATTTCAAAAATCTAAACTCCCCAATCTAGTAACTCTCCCTCATACATCTGTATCCGGGATCTAAAATAATTTCAAACTATCTCACATGAAGTAGACAAGCCCCATATGAGATAATTATATTCTAATAAATATCAGGATAGTAGAAAATACACCAAACTCAGTTGGAAGATATCTGATTTCAGAAGTTCTAACTTTACTGCTAAAATTTGGGGTGCATCCTTAAACAGGTCACCTAATCTCTTTGGACCTCTCAGTTCCCTTCTTCTGTTAAAGGCTGTAGTAAATTCAAATTAAAGTAATCAATTTTTTTAAATATAATAGTTTATTTTTACATCATTTTGTACATTTTTTTTTCATCTCAATTGTAATCCCCGTGGGTTTCCTAGCACTGAGTCACCTATGTGTCATCACCATAGTCCTATGCACTCCACCCCCCCACTCCCCAGTTTTTGAGCCCATTCCCCACTCTACCCCCACAATATGTCTCTGGTATATGACTATTCATTATTCTTATTATTTTCTTGCCTGGTCCATTATACTCCTGTTATGAGTAAAACCATCCAGTATTTTTCTTTTTCTTTGTGGCTTATCTCACTAAGCATAATCTTTTCCAGCTCCATCCAAGTTGCTGCAAAAGACATGGGTTTCTTCTTTTTGGTTACTGAGTAATATTCCATTGTATATATGTCCCACATCTTTTTAATTCAGTCATCTACTTTTGGGCATTTGGGCTGCTTCCATGTTTTTCCAATTGTAAATAAAGCAGCGGTAAAAATGGTGCAGGTATCTTTTTGAATCAGTGTTTTTGTGTCTTTTGGATAGATACCTAGGAGTGGGATTGCTGGGTCGTAGAGGAGCTCCACATTAAGCAGTTTGAGGAATCTCCAAACAGTTTTCCATAGTGGTTGAACTAGTTTGCATTCCCACCAGCAGTGCAGAAGAGTTCCCTAAGGAATCAATTTTATACTTCGTTAAATGACATAAAGCAGTAGGTTGGCAATTAGGAGGTATGACTTCTACACCAAAGCATATTTGTTATTGTCACAAGTGTGTGGTTAACTAATTTACTATCTTTTTCATGAAACATAAATGAGATTCCTTCATGTTCTGTGATATTTCTTCCCCACCTTGAACAGAGTTTTGTTGTGTTTTAATATGTGTATCTCCAGTGAGTAGCAGTGTTGAGTACCTGAAAGGTGATAAGTCGCTCAATTATTTTTAAAAGTTCTTTAAAAATCTCACATAGATGTACATGTTTAAATTTTTTTAAAGATTTATTTATTTCTGCATACAAGAATTGGGGTACAGGCCAGAGATGTGTGGGCTGAGAGGATTCATCAGAGACAGAGTGGGGAGCAGAACAGGCAGATCATCTGAAACACTGCTGAGGGGAGCAGCAGACAAGACAGGGGATGTTTGCTGCACCATGTGGGTCAGCTCCCTGGCCAGGGATTAACTAGTGCTGTATTGGCTGTGGATAGCTTCATAGTGATAGCTTGGTAGCACTGAGACTTCAACTCCTTGTGTCACCAGGGAGGCCCTAAAAATGTTTTAATTAGGGCCCTCCCTGGTGGCGCAGTGGGTTAAAGCACTGCACTAACAAGCTTAAGCCACTTCTGCATGAGTTTGATCCCCGCCTGCCCCGGAGGAGATCCACATGGCATGGCAGACCTCTCCTGGCCCGCCCGCTGCTCCCCTCAGCAGTGTACTACCTCGATCTGCCTGTTCTGCTCCCCACTCTGTCCCTGGTGAATCTTCTCACCTTCCACATTTCTGGCCTGTACCCCAGTTCTGTATGAATAAATAAATCTTAAAAAAAAAATGTTTTAACTAGCTAACCAAATTTTTGACCAGCCTTCTACATTTTTTTTTTAAAGATTTTAAAATTTATGCATACAGATTGGGGTACACGCCAGAGGTTCAGGGGCAGTGAGAGGATTCACCAGAGACAGAGTGGGGACTAGAACAGGCAGGTTGATGAAGTTATTGCTGAGGGGAGTGGCAGGCAGGTCAGGAGAGGTCTGCTGCACCATGTGGATCACCTCTGGGACTGGGGATTGAACTCTCACTGAAGCTGCTGCAACTAGCTTGCAGTGCTGCATCCTAACCCATTTTGCCACAAGGGAGGGCCCAGCCTTCCTCATTTAAAGGTCACTAAGTCTCATTTATGAAATAGATCTTAGAAATATAAATCCTTATGAGCTCATAATCTGTATGTTGGCAAGTAGGATTAAAGATGCATGTTATTAATGTGCTTAGAGTGTGAGGGTCCCTATATTGTAAGCATAAACAAAATATAAGTAGACAATAGAAGTTTAAATAACACGCTATGACTCATATTTTGAATTATGTTAAATATTTTTACTTGACAGGCCCGATTTCTCTTGCAAGTCTAGCTCCTCCTATATCAAATCTATTTCCCAATGATGACAGAGATGAAACAGTGTTATTTACTTAATAGCAGGTCTTTCTTTGTGAGATCAAAAGTGAACTAGATTTTCTTTTTAGTGCCATATCACTGTAAAAGTCTCCAAATATTTTCAAGATACACCTTAGAGTAGATTTCTGTTGCTGACAGAGATGGCATATTGTTATAAAGTATTGTGGCATATGTTCTTTTTCTGAGAACTGCATTTTTGCTTCTCTTAGGAGGATTTTCTATGGGAGGGTGCATGGCCATGCATTTAGCCTATAGAGCTCATCGAGATGTGGCAGGAGTGTTTGCCCTTTCTAGTTTTCTGAATAAAGCATCTGCTGTTTACCAGGTAAGTTCCAGATGTTAAAAACAAGACAGAAAAAAAAAAAATACACATTGAAATTAAAACAGTTGCTAATGAAGCAGTAATGATTGATAACCAGAGCATTCCTGAGGGTGGTGGCCACATTGTTCATATTAGATTAAATGCTACTCGGTAAATGTGCAGGAAGATGTTCAAAGATACTACTAAACAGGATATCAAAGGGGAAAAAATTTTAAAACTGTACATATGTATCCATTACATTTATTAAAAATGTAGATGATTATAGTGAAGTTCTCTTATTATGTCATGAACACAGTCAAAGCAAAGACTCAGTTATACTGCTGATACTGTTTTGCAGCAATGTCTTCATTTACAAATTTAACAGATACATTCTAGTATTATAATGTATCATACTTACAGTATTAGCAATAGAGGCAGCAGATATAGAAATAAGGACTACAGTGTCATTTTTCCCCATTTAACAATAGTCTGTGCCCCTCGTCCAAGTTTGTCTGCTGAGGTTGATTGTCCCAAGTCAACATGGTTTTTCAGAACTCCTTTAGCCATGTCAAGACTATTGTCCTGGGTAAATGCTAGTCACACTCTGCTGCAGGTAAGGTGGCCCCAGTGTCTGGGAAGCTCAAGGCCTGGGCCATCTGTGATACACAGACTGCTCTGTTTTCTCTTTAAATACTGAAGCTTTGGTAAAATTGGAACTTTTTGGCCTTCTCTTATTTCTCAGCATAATGTTCTTAAATGAGTTTCTTAATCTTTTCCACTCCTCTAGGAACTTCAGAAAAGGGATGGCGTGCTTCCGGAATTATTTCAGTGTCATGGCACTGCTGATGAATTAGTTCTTCACGCATGGGGGGAAGAGACAAATTCAATGTTAAAATCTTTAGGAGTGAATACAAAGTTTCACAGTTTCCCAGGTGTTTACCATGAGCTTAGCAAAACTGAACTGGAAAAGCTAAAGTCGTGGATTCTTACAAAACTACCAAGTGAACTTGAGAGCTAAAACTAATGACTCAAAATTGGTCAGTTAGCAAACACATTATGTCCTTTGTGAAAATTATTTTACTGCCAACTTACTGTTCAGTAAGTGATAATTAAAATATTAATATCAAATATTAATATCAACAGATGCTGATTCATTTATTCATTGTGAATATGCTTAGCTCCATAGAGAATAATATGTAAATGGCAATAATTTACTTGGAAAGACATCTGTGTATTATTTTTCAGATGCATGTTTCTGAAAATTTGGGGACCTTTTAAGTAATTATTTAAATTTTAAATAAAATGTAAAAAAATAAAGATGATGAGAGAATATGAAAACTCCTAATGCGTTTTTTTTTCTTTTCTACCACTTTAAGTTACTTTGCCAAAGATATTTTTGTTTTTAGCATTCAACAGAAGAACACCCAATTCTCCATGTTTTTATACTGGGTTCACATCCCACTTGACCATCACCAGAGGTGGAATTTTGTTACTGGCATTTGTCCAGGTACCACTTAGCCACAGTGTATTACAGTAATATCAGAAGGTGCAGGTATTCCAAGAAAATTCAGATTGCTATACACAAAGACAGTTATTTCAAAAGACACTCAGTAATTGTAACACATGAAGAACTAGCATTGTATTTCCAGGAAGCAAATTTGCTGCATATATATTTTAATTCTGCTTTTCAGTTTACTCTTCAGAAGTGTTTCGAGTGGTATGCATGTGTGAACAGGTCTGAGAGGATGAGGTGGCCTATGCTGAGGAGAACATTTAGCCTCAACATCTCAACATGTGTCACCTCATTACTATTAGCTAAATCCTACCATTTAACTGCAACTAATTTAGATTTATTTCATACATCGTTGATTTCAGATAGCAAAGAACAGAATTTAGTCTGCAATACTGACCTCAACTGTACCCCCCTAGTCCTGGTCCTATCGAGGAGAATAAATCCCATAGTTTTTTCATGTGTACCTTAGGCAGCCAGCTGCTTCCTTAAGTGTCTGGATTGACTGTCCCACTTGGTCCATAGCTCCAAGTCTGGCACTGCAGGATGTAGAGACAATTTTCCAGACTAAGAAGGCCCCCAGGACAGAGTCCAGCATACCCGCTTCCATAAGGACAATCCTGAACTGGGAACAAGGGGGCCTTTTAGCTAAAGAAGGCCATAGACTTTAGCCAACTTTCCCTGGGTGATTTCCATTGCAAGGTCATGAACTTCAAGCTGCACGTGAACAATTTGGTCATCTCTCTAGAACGCTTTACCAAATAACTAAGTTTATATAGCTTTATATAGTTACACAGTCACATTAGGTCTAGCTGAGAGGCTTGTGCTATGTCCTTAAAGTGTTGTATCAACAGGAACTTAGTTAGTGGTCAAATTGGAAGAGTAAGGTAATTGTTGAGCCAGTGACAGGTCAATGTAGACCAAAGTGGGGGACATTATGGGTCTAAATCCTTAAAAATCCCCTTGCCCATCTTCTACATGAAAGGTGTTGGATGTGAGTAGGGGACAACTGGATAATGGCATTACAACAATTGAAATGGGACATCTCTTCTGAAAGATAAAAGTCACCATGTTTCCCTTCACATGAAACAAACCTACATTAGTCAACAGCACAGGTGACAGTGTAATCACTGCCAGGTGTCCTCCTGGCCTTGGAGTTCTCAGTTTAATTCAAATAGTGAATCCTTAAGATTGAAAACACCTGGTGCAGTTTTCCTAAAAAATTTTCACTGCTGGGCCTGCCCTCCCTCTATAACCTCCATAGCGCTTTAGTACTTTAGTAAAAAGTTTGTGAAAACAGCGGATTTTATTTTAGTCAGAAGCAGTCCTTGTTTTAGCTGCAAATACTGAGGCATTCATCGCAGCCTGTGCTGTCCATCCTCACCACAGTGGCGTGGTATATGGGAATAAGCGTGGGTAAGTTATGGCGGCATGATTTTATTGATAGGTGTTTTGTTGTTGTTGTTGTTGTTTGTGTATGTGTGTGGCGGGAAGAGAACCAGGGCAACCCCTCGCTGTTGCCACAGACTTTTTTTACTATCTTTTACTAAAGCACTAAAGCGATACAGAGGTTCTAGAGGGAGGGCAGGCCCAGCAGTCAAAAATTTTTAACAAAACTCCAGCAGGTGTTTTCAATCTTGAGGAAGCCTCCAGGGTAGTTCCGAAAGGCATTCGTAGTAGCCTTCTCTCCCCTGTGGAGCCATGTTCCAGCACCAGATTTGCTCCTTTCCTTCCATTTACATGTCATTTATGTCCCATTTTAATTGTTATAACTCCACTTTTATCAAGTCGTCCTTATTCACACCCACACCTTTCATCTAGAAGAGTTGGGTACAGGAAGGATATGGGGATTATTAAGGACTTAGACGCATAATGGGAGGCATTGACCAGTCATTGGTTCAGCAAGCACCTTCCTCTTCCAATTGATCACTATATTTTTTTATCTAAGTTCATTTTGATGCAACAAGTAAATCTATATCTGAAAAAAGTATGAAGTATGATTCCTCTGTCTTCTTTTGGTCAGCCAGCCTCTCAAGGTGTAATTACCTGGCCGCGTTGCGCGGCCATTAGAGAAAAGGAGAATGGAGTGCTTGCGGGATCAGCAGGTGTTCCAAATTTTCAGAATCGCTCTATAGTGTCTCCTGGCACTTTCATTCTGGCTCTTACCCAGAGTGCAGCTGAGAGGAGGGGAATAACTGCACTCGTTTGGTCAAACTGACTAACATGTGCAGACCAGAAGGCAGAGCTGGACATATAAGTCCATTTGGAAAATGTTTGAACATTCAACAGCACCCTCTGCCAGTGAATTGCGGGGAATGTGAAAGACCCATCAAGTATCTGACCATCAGCCCATTGTTGAATTGTTTTGTGATAAAAGGTACACACACCATTGTCAGAAAGGAAGTGGTCCAGAAATATAAACCACAATGGAAGAGATTACTTTCATGAGTCACAATGGTGTGGCTGAAGTAAGCTTATCGGGCTGAAACAGCAACACATAACCTGAAAAAATGTAAACAGCAGTGAAGCAACATTTATGGCCCCAAAAGAGGTCAAAGTCATACATAATTATGTGTCAGGACAGGTATGGACAATACCTACACTGTCAAAGTGATAGTGACAACTTTGTCAACACAAAAGATTGTCATATGCTGGTAGCCTCTGCATCAAAAGCGGGACCTCTTACTTGGTACTCAATATAATAGCTGATGCACTGCTGTGTCCGGTGTTATGATGATTCAAGTTCACAATGATGGCAGGTTGGGCAGTGTGGGCTCAACCGTTAGTCGGTTGATTCCAGTCAGTTTTAACAAAGAATGGATCCATCAAAAGTGACAGATGATTCAATCACCAGCCACTATTAGTTTCCTCAGAGTACAGTGCAAAAAAAAAAAGGGGGTGTCCGTAACTTTTTAGAATGTAGATTTCCAAGCACCAGTTCAAATAATCAGGTGATGGTAACAACCCACTTGTAAGTGAAAATATAATGAGGTTTATCAAAAGTAGTATTTGCCAGAGCTCTGGAATGGCCTTGAATTTCCCTGCTGAGTGGAATGAGAGGAATTTGCCTGCTGAGTGGAATGCCTCTCAGTGCTGAATACCTCACCCTGAGGCTGTACTGTGGTGGCTATCTAGTAGATGCCACCAGATGTGAGGAAGGCCTAGGCCTTAGGGGGCATCTCTGTGAGTCAAGAGTCTAATGAGCCAGCAGCTTGGCTGTAGGTGGTGTAGAGTCAAGATGCCTCTGTGGTCAGGCCAGCTGCATTGTCAAGTGTGCCATTTCCATTACAGCTTCTTTTTTATTTTGTCAATCAATTGAGTCTAAGTCAATTCACCCCAAAATGGAATTAGCAGGTCAGAGAGTTAGTCTATCCAGAGTCAGACAATGAGTTTCAACAGAGACCAGTGAGAAATTCCAAGCTGCTTTCAAAAAATAATGTAAGACTTAGTGAGTATAGTGTGGTGAAATCCTGTATTTCTGAATCTTATATGGTGTTTGTGAACCAATGTTATCTTCAATAAAAGGTATTAAAAAGAAGAGGTAAAACCAAAGACTGGAAGGCAATGAGCCTCGTCCCCAAACAGCACCCTGAGAGGGCCCCTTCCTTTTATTAGCATCTATATCTGGCAATGCCATCAGTCACAGGGATCTCTGAAGATATGAGCTGTTCTCTATAGACCACTTTTCCCAGTCAGAAGCATCCCCTTTTTGGCATTTACTGGCTCTAGTACCATAAGCATGTGAAATATTAATACAGTAACTCCTCTCTTAACATTGTTCATAGGTTTATGGAAGCTGACACTTTAAACAAAAAAACACGCAATGACAGTAGCTCCTTGAATGAATTGTTTCATTCAACATTGGCTGGGATTCTTTTTTTCTCATCAGTGTTATAACGAATCAACCTTGAGTGAAATGGTGTTATTCAGGACTTGGTATACCAATAATAAGTCAGCAGAGGAAGCCAGAAAAACAGTACATTTAATGAACAAGACCCCTCAGCTCTGCCAACCCCATCAGCTCATTTTGGGGATACCTTCACCCCCGGGACCACACCGCCTCTGGTCACGTGAGCCAGCCCACATTCCAACTGGGTTCTGCTCACTGGGATATGAATCTCCACCTTCACAGTTAGTGCTGGAGAGTGGGCCTGTCCCTGTGCCTGAAGAGGGTATAACAAAGGGCAGCACTGGAGGATGGGCCCTCTTGAATTGTTATACACGTGCCCTCATCACACAATCTTAAATCCCTTTCCTTCCCAACTTTCCTAAACTTACTCTATATATGTATGATCTTTCCTCCCTTTGGGAACAGGGAGGTCGCCCTCTAGCCCTACACATCCTTCATAAACCAGTTGAGATCAGTGAGAGGGAAAGGTTGGACCCAAGGGACTGGAGCGGGACAGGCCCCCTGCATTCAGCAGATAACACTTCATTTTGAGGGCTGGGACTGCTGCTTGCACTCATTTCTTTAGATGGGGGCAAGGGTGTTTCTCATTCTTCAGAGGATGGATCTCATCCACACTATAAACCCAACTCACAGCAATGAGAACCTGAATGTTAGTCAATGAGTCAATGCCCATGGGAAGTTGTCTTAAGATGGTCACCTAAGGGAATCAAAGTTTCCTTAAAGCTAGCAGGCCCAGCTACAGAAAACCGAAGCAAAATTTATTTCTGAGGCCTTTCATGCCATCTTCAAATGGATCTATGGGTAGTGTGATAGAGTCACGGGAGCTTCTAGACAGGAAGGCGGCCCCACTGTGCCATCTCCTTGGCCAGCATTCTGCACCACACCGCCTCTG